GGTATAAAAATTTTTATTGGGCGCAAAAAAAAAAAAAAATTTTTTTTTTTTTCTTTTTTTTTCGATGTTTTCTTTTTTTTCAAACCCGTTAAGCACACACAAAAAAATAAGAGATTAGTTGTAAAAATGATGGGTTACGAAACGGAAGGGGATTTTGTAATTTTATACAATGAATGAAAAATTAAAATATATAAATAATATATATTAAAATCTAGTATGTACAAAAGGTGAGAAATTTGGCTATAATAGCCAAAATTTCTTTTTTTTTTTTTTTGAGGGGATGAGATTGAACTTTTTAGGAAAAATCAACACGTATTACTTATATTTTGTTGCCAGAAATCTATATCCGACATAATATGGTTTATACTCGCTTAACTCACAATGCCAAGCTTCCAATAATTTATCATATTCTTCTGGTTCGAGACCAAGAAATGAAGAAAATTTCGTTCGAAATGTACGAAATATATTGGCTATAAAAATTGATAAAATAATTAAAAGAATTAATTAAAAGAATGAATAGATAATTAATTAGAAGATTTTGTTACACGATACAATAACATAACATATAAATCGAAAATAATTAAATACCAGTATTTTCTGCTAATAACGCGCCAATTCTACCGGCCCATTTACCAAAAGGTGTTGACATCTCTTCAAGTTTTATATTTGTTAGCTGTCGCGTATTCATCAATATATCGGTCATGTGTTTATATACAGCAGTGTCAATATTACGTGACAGGAGGTCAGACAAAACTTGAAAAGGATATTTTAAATAATAAAGATTTAAATACTAAAGAATAAAGATTTAATGTAATAAAGATAAATGAATTTAACATATATTTACATGCACTATGTAATAGTCGTGATATAGGTCCATCGTTTCTTGGCTCTATTTCATCTTCCATTATTTCAATAATTCCATTAGTTTTTGTTACTCTGACAATTTCTCTAAGAATATTATAAAAAACGGAATTAGTTGATTGTAATAAAATATAATAAATACTTTTATACAGTATAATATAGATAAAAATATTTACTTTAAAGCACGTTCCCATTCTTGTTTACTAAAGGCAGTTATTAGAAACCTCATGTGAACGTAATCAAAAGTATTATCATTATATGGCAGCCCATCAAGTAGATTAGCTTCCACAAATTGAGCATTTTCTGGTTTCGCTTCTCTCGGAAACACAGGAGCAATATCTATTCCTGTAAAATGAGAATTAGG